CTGATGTAAGTTTAAAATTATTTAATTAGATGCGTCGGCAGAAAGTAAAAATATTTTTAATCTTATTTTGCTTTTACTCTGATCAACAAACACTCTTTGAAATGTCTTCTATATGCAGCAGCGCCCCCACGTGTGAATGCTGATCATTATGAGCAAACAACTTTTAAGGAAGTCAAACGACGCTTTGTATTTTGCACGTGTGGTGTTGATATTCTCCGTTGCATGTTCAAAATGTTACACAGAAAAAAAATTCTATTCCATATATAGCACTATATAATATGAGAAAAATATCGATTTAAAGTACACACTATGTTTATGGGTGTAAGTACTCAGTATCAGAAATTGAGCGTATGGAAATATAAGTATAAAAGTGGACATTGTGGTCAACACCCAGCAGCGACAGTCTGTTTCATGTTTAAACGCTATCTTCAGGCTATGGCTTTGGCGTGACTATATATGTTGGTCAATGGTGCATTATGGGTAGGTCTATTGCTCTAACAGTTATTGGGTAAGCGGTGACGTTTATGTTTAAAATTATTCTAAGGGTTATTAAGTAGAAATGACTGTGGGTGCGAATACAGTTTTGTCTCTATTTTATAGTGTTGTTTGTTAACTTTTTTATACTTTATGATTGATTGCTTTCTTATTTATTGTTGATTGTTATTTTTTCATTTACTTGTGTTTATACGTGGATTCATAGTTTGTTAATTTGGTTGTTATTATTTACTTAATTTATTTACTTATTTATTCATTTAGATTTTTATTTTGCTTATTTATTTTCATTTTATTTATTTATTTATTCATTTATGTTCGTGCGTTTTAACTTTATATTTTTAAGTAACGTAATAAAAATCCGTTTCCGTGTCTACATTTTGAGATAAGTTCTGATCGTTTATTTAGTAAATTGTGTTTGCCTAAGAAAGTGATTATACCTATCTTCTCCTCCAGACAGAGTTTACAGTTTTTGGACTTATTGTTGTAGAGTGATGCCTTTTTCCTTATTTTCCATGATATTCTTGGTGTGACTTTTCTGGCATGACATTGATCCTGCTCAGGATACGATAGAAGTTCGCGAGTTCTTGGCTAAGAAATCCATTTACAAAAATGGACCGTTCACTTCATTCAAGAAACTTACACCCAACCCCGTTATTTTGGGCGGTTTCAAAATAAGTCCTGAAAGGACAAATATTGGCTGACATCCCTGATATTCGGCAACATGGGACTATATCATCGAAATGCATTCAGGAAAACAAGTTCCAAGAATGTTTCCAACAATGCTACTAACGTCTTACCAATGCATAACTCCACAAGGTGACAGCAACCAATAGCGACTAGGTAAACAAAAGTCGTTTTCACAGTACCATCTCGCGATTCAAATTTTCATATATATATATATATATATATATATATATATATTGTGTATATTTAGGCAGCAATTTTTCATTGATGCATGTTTCATTAAATAATATAGACAAGTTTTGTCTATTTATTTTAAGTAAGTTCCTTTCATATTGTCTAATAAGCTTAATAACATTATCATTGAACAACATGCCTGGCCGCGTACACAGTTCCGGAAAATCCTTGTTGGAAACACATCTATACTTAAACATGAAAACAATAAACAAAAACTAAAAACTTTTGAAACTATATACATAAAACAGTTGAAACCTAACCTGAACAAAATAAACTATGAAATTTCCACAAATATCCTTAAATGCCTATAATTGATAACCGAAGCCATTGGTTTATACCAACAGCTTCCCATACTTAATACTTCTCGAATTCACTCTCGCGTGGTCATGTGTGACGTAACGAGCTGCGACGCGATTTTCGATTCCGCGTCTCGTATACACTAGTTAGTCGTTGCTTTAAAATTTTTCGTGCAACAAAAACAGACTATCATTATTGTTTTGTGTATTGGTTGATATATTGAAAAGTAATTGTCATCGTTGATAATGGCTTATGTAAGCCGAAAGCTTAGATTGGATTTAAACATGTATCAATATGGTGATTTCCTTTCGTCCTTCAATGCATCAAGATATATATATATATATATATATATATATATATATATATAGTAAAGGTAAAAAATCCGTTGGTATATAATCCAAGTGGATCCTAGTACTATAAAATATTAAAACTGATCCACAAAAACAGCTCAATGTATTTATTATTACAGAACAAATAATTAATAAACAATAAAATCCAAAATTACCTCATATGTAGAATAGCCTATTTCGGCAGACGAAGATATCGGTCGTCTGTCTTATCAACAGCGGTGTGGACTGAGTTCGTGTCAGAATTAGAAATTTGACTGTGAAAGCTAAAAACACACACACACACACACAGAGACAAAAAACTAATGCAGAATTTATCTATTTCAATGTTTTCAGTCAGACGAGGCAGTGGTCAGGGTGGAAGTTATTTGTCTTAAAGGGATGAAGTTTTCTTTAAAATTAAACCCGAATATTGACTTTATGACATTAATTTGGGGTTATCTGAAATATTGATTTAAAATTAAAAGAGAAATAAAATGGGGTTTAAAAATAAATATAAACAAATAGATGGATAAAAGGATGTAATGGATTAATGGAAAGCGAGTTGGGAGGAGAGCTTAGAGGAGGGGAAAGTTTATAAATATACTGCAAATAGGTATAGAGGGGGGAAAGGTAAAAAAATTTATACTTTCGGCATTTGAAGAGTTAAAGGGGAATGAACATTATGGAAATATAGCAGCTAAGTTATATATATATATATATATATATATATATATATATATACGGACTCTGTGTGTGTGTGTGTGTGTGTGTGTGTGTGTGTGTGTGTGTGTGTGTGTGTTTAATTGTGTATTTCGGCAACAATCCCTCTTTTATACAATCTTTAAAAACGACTGACAAAAGGTACTGTGTTTAAGATTTATAATTCTCTTCTTTTCTGAACATAAATTATACAGAAATTGTTTTAATATTCTGTATGTCCGAGCGCTTTCGGCTATACTTTTAGCCATTATCATGAATGATTTTATTTTTACTTTTAACTGAATGTATGAATGGTTTTATGTTATGTATCTAAAGTTATAGGAATGTTTTTATTTCCAAAACACGGTCAGCTTATTGTAGCCGTGTTCATAGTTGATATTGACTGATAGCATTTTCGTTTTTATTAATAATGCTTTCATTATTTTAGCCTGTTTTACATGTGTATCAAGGTATTATATTTCCAACGTTGTCCTTGGTCACAAAGCGTCAAAAGTTACCACGGCCACAGTCAGGAATTAAGTAATCTTGACTGTGGCACACAACGTACATAGATAGGTGCACTATATTTCACCGTCATTCCCAATATCGTAAAATTTAAAGAAACACGAATCAACCCTATCGAAACGACACGCCAGCTCCAACCGAGGAGAAAAACAAAGTCGGATGGCCCATAAAGACAGTATTACTCAGCAAAGCTAGCGACTGGGGAAGAAGAGAAGGGAGATAACAGTGTGAATAGAGTGTGAGTTATAAAACAGCACAATCATATCACAAACTTTCTGATATCGTAAATGACGATAATATGTCTCTCATATTCTAATTTTTCTTCTCGGTGTGATGCAATTTTTTCTTGACACATATTGGCATTATGTTTTCCTTAGGACAAATCCACTTCATCAAATGTTTTCTGGCTTCCATAAAGTCTTGATTAAATTGTTTGTTTTTATCTTGTTAAACATCTGACAAAATGTCTGACGAATCGTGAAGAATTATGATTCAGTAAATGCTGGGAGTTGCTAAGAATTCGCGACAGTAAACTTTTTTTTCAGAAACAAACAAGCTGATTTAGAGAAAACCCCGTAGCCATCAGTAGTTACGTAGTGCAGGATTAAAAGCTAAAATAAAAGGTTTCTTGTTGCACATGACCAATGCTTGCTAACTAGAAATTACCAAGCCGACATACTGAAAAATTGTGCTAATCTGAAATCCAAATTCTGTGATAAATACCCAGAAGCAATTGACTATCTTGTATCAGGTTGAAGAGTGTTAGCACCCACTGAATATAAAACTCGGTATGATAAAGTGGGTCAATATATGCACTGGAAAATATGCAAATTTTACGAGAAAGAAACTACAAGAAACTGGTATGAAATCACCTAGACCCGGTTACAGAGATAGGATCTGTAACAATTGTATCGGACTTTACAATGCACACAGACAGAACAATCAACGCCAATCGACCAGACATCGTGATCAAAGATCACAAGAACAGAATGTGCTTTCTTATTGATATGTCATCCCTGCAAACTGTAATGTATCTTTGAAAATCTTTTTAAAAAATACTATCAAAATACAAGGATCTTGAAGTAGAAACCTAAAAAAAAAACTGTGGCACATGAGGACCTCCAGTTGTGTTTGGAGCCCTCGGAATTATTGGACAAGATTTCAATAGATTCATTGAAGGGATTACTTGTAGCCCAAGTCTTAAAGAAATACAAAAAAAATGTACTCATAAGTACAGCCTATATTTTACGAAGGGATTTGTCTCTGTAAAATATGTGTGATTTTACGTTGTTTTGTTTTTTCGTTTTTGCTTTTTTTTGTTTTGTTTTTTTGTTGTTGTTGTTGTTGTTTTTCTAAAAAAAAAACCTACTCAGTGGAAAATGTCATGATGCCATTTCTGACCTTAGGTCTTTGGTTGGGATCCGGAAAGAAATGAGAATATACCAGAAATCAAAGGAAATAATAATAATAATAATAATAATAATAATAATAATAATTGAAAACTATTTGAGAAACTAAATAAATACAAGGACTTCATGACAGAAATCAATAAAATGCGTCATCTCAAGACAACAACATTGCCTTTGGTTATTGGGCCTTTGGGAATTATATTAAAAGAAGCAAGCAAATATGTGAATAAAATTCCTGATATGCTTAAAATATATAAATTGCAAAAATCCATACTCATACTTAAATTTCTCTCCATGCATTAAATACAAATGTATATTTATTGCAGACTTACGGTCATATCATGTTGAAATAACGGTTCTCGCACGATCACCAAAGTTAAGCAAAGTTGAGCCTGGTCAGTACATGGATAGATGACCGTTTGAGAATATCAAGTGCTGTGCGAGTGGTGTAATGGATAACGCATCGGAATTGGATATAGGAGAGCCGAGATCCAATTCCAGTCGGTTTTGTTATATTACGTTATGTGCAAATACCCTTTGGAAAGGCATGAAGCCATCACTTCTCCCCCCAGTTATGGGTTAATTAGTAGGACTTGTGGCAGTAAATAATTATATCCAAAGTATTTTTAAAATCTAAAAATATTTTCTGGCTTTAAGTAACATGTAAATTTCTGATAAGCCATAATGTATATACATTTTCCCCAATATGGCGTTGCTCATGACTAGAAAAGAAAGAAAATTTTGGACTTCATCATATTGAAGGTGAAAAAGCGAATTGCATGTGTATGTATTTGTGTGTTTATTTAGAATAGTGAGATTTTTCCAAGCTGGCATTGCTCTTGACTAAAAAGAAAATGACTGACTTATTAAAAAAAAGTCGTTTAACATTTTATGTTCATTGCTTTAAGTGTCCAAGTTTAAAGATAGAAATCAATCAGAATGAGTAGAAAATAAATAAAAGATTTGTTTTTATCCATGTGTTCTTGAGTAAATGATCCCGATAGAGTTATACATTAAATGACAATTGGAAAAAACGACTTTCTTTTTAAATAAGTCGCCCATTTGCTTCTTTTACTAGTCACGAGAAGTGCCAGATTGGGAAAAATATTTGAACTCATTATTCCAAATACATAAACATGCAATTCACTTTATCTTCTTCGATCTGTGGAAGCCCAAAATTGGCGACTTGCATTATCGGATATTTTTCGAAATATTATACTTTTGTGAAAGTTTTGTCCAATTGTCATTAAATATATAATATATAATATTTACCCTAATTCTTAACATAGATAGATAGATAGATAGATAGATAGATAGATAGATAGATAGATAGATAGATAGATAGATAGATAGATATTCTCTTTGAGTACATTACAACTCATCTGTTTGCATCTGATACAAAAAAAACTTGTTCTCTATAGAAATCTCTGGTTGAAACTTGGGAGCAATTCGTAGTACATAAAACAAAGGCAAAGCACATTAATAATAATAATAAAAATAATAATAATAATAATAATAATAATAATAATAATAATAATAATACAAGCCAAGATCGATAAAACACAGGCGAATATCAATTGTTGATTCTGTGGAAATAAAGATGAGACGTTGAGAATATAGCAAATTGACATAAGAAAGACTATATAGACATGACTGGGTGGAAATGACAATCGATTAAAATCTGCGCAAGTTGACCATACTAACCAACAGTACGATTGGTTTGTTTTAGTTTGTTTTGTTCTACGGCATATCAACTTTTATCGAGGCTATTTAATACCGAATTCTGTCGAAGAAAGGTAGACACGGGTTTGCGCCAGAGTCAAAAGGTAGACAAATGTCCGCTTTGCACTAGAGTCAAACTAGATATTTTGTCAGGTTTGCGCGAGAATCAAAAATGAGGGCATAAGTGCAGCTAAGAGGTTGCCCCTTATTTTAGATATTACTCCAGTATGCAGAGATGCAATCGACGTATTCTTGACCCCAACCCACTGAATTTGGATCATATTGTTCAATGGAATGTGTAACAAATAAAATCTTCTGAGACTTTGAACTTCAAATGATCAACTAATCCGGGTCAAAAGACCGGATCGAATACTTGTAAACCAAAAGAAAACATGGAACATTGTGAACTTTGCTGTTCCGACGAATGGCAGAATAAATCCGAAAGAAAGTATTTCGACCAGTGAGAAATGAGAAAGTTTTCAGAGCTTTTGGAACGATTCCGAAGAATCTGGACGGAAAAACTAGAACACCTTGAAATAAAAGAAATATTGGGAACTCTCTAGACAGCAATATTATTCAAGTTTTAAGATACGGAAAAGGGTGCTGGTGTAATGAGGAGATTTGCTGTCACTTAACCTCATTCGTAAGCCACCAGTAGTGAATTAATAAGTAAATAATAAAAGAGAATTTGATTAGATCAGATATTTTGCAACTGTTATCCTCATCTTTATTGTTTTTATCAAAAAAAATTTAACTATTATATTCTTCAGTCCCTCTTAATTGTCTCAACATCTGAGATCATGTATGTTCCTTCTAGCAACGTGTTTGTATTTTTAGCATTTCTACCGAAAAGCTTGGGTGGATGATACAGCGTAGAATGGATTTTAGAAGACTATTAAATGTAATACATGTACGAGGAAGGTCGAAGAAAAGATTTTACAAAATGCCATATTTAAAAACAACGAAAATTCAAACTCCAAAAATATAAAGGAATAATGAAAACACTTCATTTTATTATCTGTTTATATTTCTGGGATGAGGTATTGCGTACACTATTTATATTATTCGGACTATTGTCCTCATATTTGTCGCCATGTTTATCACAACGTTTCGGAAAGGACACAGTGGATAAAGACGTTAGTTAGATCCAGTGACAGGAGCCAAAGAGTGTGAGTTCAATACCTGGTTAAGGCAGTGGAGAACTTTCAAAGGGGAATTAACAGGAGATAATTGACATCCATTAGACATGGCACGTGGAACTAGAACAGTCTACCGCAGTGAGTGAAATAAAGGGTTCAGTTCGACATGCCAACCACCTGAAGAAGGTCGGAGCGTACAACGGCCGAAACGTTGTGATAAACATGGCTACAAAGATTCGGACAATAGTCCGAATAATGTAAATAGTGTACTTCATTTTATATGACATTAAGCATATGAAAACATATATATATATATATATATATATATATATATATATATATATATATATATATATCGACTACAATACTAAGAATAAAATAATGAATAATGAAAAAATATCTGTAGTGGCGTTGGAATAACTTTCAAAAGATGCCTTCTAAAATCTCAGGAAAGTATAAAGAAACAGAAAAATTACCTTAGAACGTGACGGATATTATGAACAATTTAGTTTAGTACTCTTTTCATTTGTTTCTATGTCAGTAAATGTTGGAGAATCATGAATGAAGAAGAGACTTAAGGCATGTGATTCAACAGAAGAATACGGTGAATACTATGTACTGAACATACGGGTAACGACGAAGTTTTAAGGAAAATGGAAACAAAAAGGACTCTTATACTTAGCACCAGAAATAGACTGTTGAAATTTATTAGATACATAATGAGGAAAGGGGGCTTAGCTAATTTGACACTCACAGAACATATTGAAGGCAAGAGAAAACAGTGCATAACTCCTGCCTAACGAGCTCGTGTCAATGGTTGACAGAACAGGAATTAGGAAAGGAGCGAAAAGACATCATTTACTAAGGGCTACAAAGGACATCAAGTGTAGAAAGACATAATCGGTCACGTTCTGAAGGAACACGGAACAAAGAATAAATATATTTTTGCTGTGATTTGTTTTTAATCTCCCAAATATGCTTAGAAAGGTAACAAATTTAGTCCGATGAAGTCCTGTAGGACGAAACGTGTCACACGTAAACATTTTCCACTTTGTTATATATATATATATATATATATATATACATATATATATAATGCCCTCGGCTTTATCTCGTTTTCAAGAATTAATTTCTTATTTTTTGCTGCCCGCTTCCTTTATGGTGTTGATGACTAAATTAACCACCAATGTACAGGTTCAGGACTAGAAGCTTCCAGTTTTACCAAAATCTGCTCCCACCATCCATTACCTGTCGCCGGTTTACTTTGCAAGTATTCGTTGGAGGTGAAAAAAAATCAGAGTAGAAGAAAGTCCCGATGGTGTGAATTTGTTTAAGGTGGACCTAAACTTGCCAGGAAGCGACTCACACTTTTGATTTCAAGGCCTCCCTCTGCAGCACATATGGAATGAGACATGCAGAAACCAGTTTTTGAAACTGCCACGGACTGCCGCTGACGCTGTTATAATTTCAAGTGGCGCCTTCTGTAGCATGTCTGCCATGCGTAGCCCTCTTCATCCGCTGGTTCAACCGTTGAGGTCAGTTGTAATCGTCATCTTCTTGTTACACCAGGGAAGTTTTTTGGGTTAGTCGTGCTTAATCTGGGTCACTGTCTTCGAGCTTGCCGCTAAGGATCACACTACACGGACGTCCGACGGTATCGCTCTCAGAGTCATCGGACAACACAAGCCGCTCCGCTGCGACATGGAGCGACCATCAGAGTTACGCAATAAAAAGAAAATAAAAAATGATGGTTAACTTCAAAAAAGTTCTTGGATATTGGATTAATAAATAACAGTCGATTTTTTTCTTGTTTATATTTCGATATTTATTCCCATCCCTGTAAGAACAATATAAATAGCCATTATTTTTATTGTCTTCTTTTAGGATTATATATATAAAAACAATTAAAATAAAATGAAAAAGCCCAGTGAAATGTGAATAGAGTTATCATAGATAAGATTTTGGATTTCCTATTGACTGGCTTCAGTCTCAAATGGAAGGACCTTCTTACTCTTAAAATTAATACTTTGCAAGTATTTATCAAAAATCGGGAACATATTACAGACAGACGTGAACAAAAGCCAAATAGATATGAACTTATTCAGATGCATAGGAAGAGATCGATAAATAATGAGATGCCAAGTGTGAAGTAGCCACAGCCGACTTACGACAACAAATACTTCCTTCAGTGTTTGAGATCAGCGCAAAATACAATCAACCATATCTAGCTAGATCGACGTCATTATGAGATGAGCTAAGACCGTTGCCCCATTTATTTTTAACAATGATTTCATCTTCCCATAATCATCGAATGTGACATTTTTATTTTTTTTTATTCTTCCTGCTATTGAATGACAAAATGCTTACAAGAGACATGTATTTTTTCTGGAATCTTAACCAATTTCTAAATTACTCACATGAAAGAATAATGGAAACCTGTGAAAGTATAATGGAAACCTGCTTTATTTTCTGGGTATTAGCAAAGGCATGATGACAAATGTAGGAGAAAGGAGCGAGAAAATTCATATTAGGCTTAACTTATAATGTAGAAAGAGTCTTTTTTATGCCATGTCTCTTT